AAAGAAAATATGCTAACTCTGCCCTAAATTTTGGCATAAGCGTTTGCCAATCTTTAAGAGCAGTCCAGTCTGGTTTCTTTCGTAGCACTGCCTTTTCCATATATTTACAAACGAACATTCCACAATCGTAGCTGTTTGTTTGTGTTGGAATTCCACGAACCGCCTGTACGTTCCATTTCGTTATATCGGTTGAAAAGCATCCTATGGTGTCTTCGTGCAAATACTTTATCTGTACGAATAAAACATTTTAAAAATTTATTATGTATATAAACATAGTTATCTGGATTAAACTTAAAATATGAATTGCACTTACAATAGTATGACAAATATTTTTGTGTTCAGGATTTGGTAATGAATCATACATTTTCCAGACTTTCTCCTTCAATTTCCCAACAAGAAGAACCCAATGCTTCTCATAAATTATGGGTTGAATAATAAGTTTACTTTCTTTAACTGAAACTGGATTAATGTGTTTGATAAAAATTTGATAATCCAGATTTAATGACTTGTATACCTGCAATAATTCAGTTCTATAAGGAAAAAAATGAAAAAAATGATTAAGATATTATTTATACTTACCCTGTACAATGGAGAAATGTACAAGTAACGTTGAAATTTCTCCGTCATTAACCTACTCTGCTCAAGTAGAAAGAAAGCAAAAGCATCAACATGGTTATCTGCTAACCAATCAATTGTGAGCAGAAAGTCAATATCTGATCTTTTTATTTCTATGTTTCCAGATGCAAATATTATGTGCTCCCTATAAAAAACAAAAAAAAATATAAAGTTAGAGCGCAACCATAGCGCAACCGTAGCAAAACCATAGCGCAACCATAGCGCAACCGTAGCGCAACCGTAACGCAACCGTAGCGCAACCGTAGCGCAACCATAGCGCAATCATAACGCAACTAAACTTACTTTGTATTAAATTTTTTGAAATATTCATCCATAAATTGTTGTTTTTTCTCTGATAGAAAAGGCTTCCTTGTATAATCCATAATTTCCAATGCTGGTATTGATTCAACTATTATATTATCAACAGAGATAACCTCTTTGGTCTTCTTCTTTACATATGATATGATTTTTTTTTATGAACTCTCTTCTTTTTCATCA